CATGATTTTGGGGTACTTGCCCCTCGTAATCACAGACTCAGAATCTTGGTTGGATGTTACTCTTTTCTCCAATTTAGATGTTGTTTGTCATTTTATAGACCAACAAATAATAAATGCAAATTCTATAGAATACAATAAAAATTAAATTGAATAATTATTTCGAGATACAAAGAATCCGCTTGAAAAATTAAAAAAAAAATTCTAACAGAGATTTAGCTTTCTGATTTGGTATTGAATTGAGCAAAACGTATTAATGTATTTTTAGGAAAATGTCAGGTTTACAAGGTAAATTACAAGGAAATTAGTAATATTTTGGAAAAACTGGGTTTAAAATAATATTTGAAATGATAAGTTTTCATATATTTTAATAATTGTACCATTTGGGCATTGAGAAAGATATTTCCAACTTCTTAAAGAAAGAAGTAGAGGATTCATTAGAGATAATTTCAACTTGGGCAATTATAGAAAATTTGAAAAATTTTAATGAAACCAAAATTAACCGTACATAGTACATTCGTACATTGATACACTTCAGTCCAATTTTTTTTAAAATGGAGATGTTATTTTAAATAATTGAGAGTGTAGTGCTAGCTTTGTGTAAAATACTCCAAAAAGTTAAAATATCCGTTTTAAATCCACAGGCCCTAGAATCAAGTCGTGTCCTTCAGAAAACATCAGTTTGTAAAGACTCCTAAGCCCGGTTTAGGCGTTGTTTGCCTGGCGTTGTTTGCATGGTTAGTGAAGCAACAACTCATTGTTTATTATATCTTGGGCCCATTATAAAAATATTACCTTCCATGATATCATCAGAAGAGTATAACCTTCAGGGGCTTAGCGTCCATGGATGTGGGTGATGTATTACGTACCCTGATAATATCAGCCATTTTTATTTTAAATTAATTGTAAATTGTCCATTTGTTATTTTATTTCTATATTACGTTTTGTTTCGTGTTGTCGTATTTCAAACATCGCGCCGTTCAGAATTCCATTCTTCACCTACATTAACGACTCACTTTGAAACGACGCCTCGCCTGTATTGCGAATCAAATGTATACGAATGACGTATGTATAGAAAGTATTGCATCATACGTGTTCTTCCAATGAAAACTCTAGACGATGAAACTATTGCAACTACGACTCAGCTACATTGAGTGGAAACACTTACCCTAACATGCACTACTCTACCACACATGTCGGCAGACCGATCGGGGTTGGAAGTTCGTGTCGGCTGGGGCGGTGCCCTGCGGATGGGAGATACCTGGTTAGGAAAAACCCCGCTCGCCGACGGTAGGTCGGCGCCGGATCTCGCCATTTGAGCGAGGGGAAGATCATCGCCGAGCAAAAAACATTCATTACACTTACGGATCTTCTCACCCAAGTAGTTGACGTGCCCGAAATCACCAAACAATCAATCAATCGATACGTAGAGAGAAAGAAGATAATACTACTACTTCTATCGGGACAAACTATCGAATTTGTATGTGTAACTGAAAATCGTAGCAATAAATATTAATTTACGAGTACAATATAAATTAATATTAAATATACAAAATATATGTTAATAGTACACATTAACGCGAAATTTATGTTAAACGCGAAAAGTGATGTTTCTAAATACGTATACAAGTGAGTGAAAGAGAAGCAAGGAGGAGATAGGGGGAGCGAGAGAGTGGGAAGGTAAGAGCGGGAGGATAGAGGAAGAGAGGGAGGGGAAGAGAGGGAGGGATAGGGAGAGAGGGAGGGAGAGAGGGACTCTCACCTATTCATTTAGGAAAAGGCTTATGCAATCCATCTCTGACTTTGCCATAGTATACGATGGTGAATCTACTCCCTAGCTTACGCTAAGTAAGGAGTATGAGCATCAGCATCATTAAGAATAGTTGCTTTTATTATTGCTTGCTTTAGTTTTCATTTCTATTGGGCATTATCTTTCAGAGTTGGATCGTCGTATAAATAATTACGTAAATTTCAAACGTTTCGCCTTTTATTAAGTCTTCATCAAGGCAAGCTCTATAACGTTACACAATCTGACGTTTTGCAGGTAGTTTAAACTCAGAATATGAAGGACAACACGCTTAATTTTATTGCGCCTCGTCTTGACTATTGACCCTGATACTGATGTACCCTGATAATGAACTTCGGCCTCGACAGGAGAGGGAGAGAGAAGGTGTCGGAAAAGAGGCAGCCCGCGGTGTCATTGCTGTCATTAATTCAGTGTAAACAAGACGACACATCCATGCACTCGGATTAATGACGCACGGCTAAGCTTAGGTCTTCAGGTGCCCACTGCTCTTTGCCCGCATGAGCTGACACCCCTTATGAAAGGGGAAAACGACATGGCTCTCACGAACATAAATGAAGTGAAGGTAGTGTCGTATTTTGTTGTCAAGTTGTGTGCACACATTAAAGTCCGTCACGTGCAATGTAACGAAAACGTCACCGGTTTACAAGCTCGATTGAATTTTAGCTGCCTCTTAAAGTTAACTGAGCTTGTACCCAAAAGATTGATGGCCATCATGATCTTTGGAGACTTGGCCCCAAAACGAGTTTGAACGAAGGAATCTCTTCCGTTATTCCAATTTTACCATGAGAGTTACTCTTAAGTTCTTACGTCCTGTCATTACCCTGATCTGTAGTAAATATAAGAAAAATACTGCAACTTAAAATCTAAGTGATAATTACTATTTATACTTAAAGAAATCGCTTGGAAAGTTACAAAATTTTAACCGCCATGATCTCATTTGTACTCAGAACTGTTTCTCAATGAAAACTGCGCATGATTAAATTACTTTTAAGCAACACAATTGATTATTTTGGTTCTGTGTCCATGAGAAGCATCATAATGTGGATTATGAAGTGCTCGTCAAAAGTTTTGTGTGAGCATAATGAGTTCCTATTAGTTTGGTACTTTTGTACGTAAGCAAAAGGGGGGACTTAAGCTTTTGTGTCTTATAGGAAGGTGATCACAGTCAACAGGTTTGCATTTGGCTTTCATTGTATAAAGTATGAGGATTGAATAAAGATACGAGATGAATGATTGTAACCCCAATCAAATAATGAAAACGCCCGTGCCTTGCGCGAGGCTGGAACCCGCAGCCCTCAACTCGGCTTCCTTGGAAGTCACTCCACGACCTTCTGCTTCCTTCCGTGTGCTAACGTTAACCTCTCCTAAACGCGCTGTTATGCGCCAATGATTGAGAAGCCCTGGAGGCGCTGTCCCTGGAAGCCCGGCCGGGTCACGTGGGGGCCCCCCTTTGGAAGGGCCCTCACGTCCGCGTCCTTCCTTCGCCTAAACACCCCGCAATTCCTTTTTAAGGGGGCCTCAGGGCCGGCCTTTCAGCAGCCCTTCGGGAACCTTCTCCGCCGCCGCCGCCGCCGTGCCCCCCCCCCGCTCTCTTTGTGCCGCCGCGAGTGTGTGAAAACAGG